TAAATGTCACTCCTGAACGCTCACATCCTTTTAATTATGTTTGAAATTATGAACATTGCTCAACATCATGAAAATTAAACCTTATTTTCAATAAGCAATCCTGAAAAATATTTGGGGGTGCTTAACGTTTTTCCAGGTGTATATATACAGATGGTCCAAATTGTACTTTCTTCCTTGAAGACCTACATCATTCAATGTTAATAGATTACAAGTAGCTTTTTGTATGTTTCTCAGTTCTAATCTTGGATCTTGGAAATCAAATGGACATATAGCTATAAACATCTTTGAAGAATTAATTAAGTTTAAAATGTCAGTAGAGTAGATTACAAATGGATTGAAATTTTGTAAGATGTGTATGCAAGCTGGCTTGAAAAATTAGTTTGTGCTTCCTTTTTATTTTTATTCAGTTATATGAAGATGTCAGAGAGATACTGATAAATCACCAAGCTTTAGTTGAAGAGTTTGTTGGATTTTTACTGCCAGAACAGGCAAGGCTGTGTGGAAGATATGATGAATATTTGAATTTTAGCAAAATGCGTGCTTTTTTGAGAAAACTAGAGGTAAGCAATACTTCACTTGGGTATAAAAAGTTTAAACTAAAAGTAATTTTCTTCTGGTAATGTTTACTCATTATACAATTTTATTCTTTGGCAAAACATTACTTCATAACTTAAAAATTTTGTGACTTAGATTTATTGAAGATATTATTTCAAGATTTGATTACAAAGCATAAAGTATCTTTATGGTGTATTAAGTACTTGTTTTTCTCACCATTTTTATTTGTATGAGTATTTCGTTTTTATGTTGTATTTTTTAAGCTTACAGTCTATGTGGGTTAGGTCTATTGTAAGTTTACTGTGGTTTCTGAAATATAATAAATGCAGTATCTGTGAAACTTCAGTTGATATTTCAGAATTTTGATAAAAGTACAAATTGCATCATCATTATGAAAATTTTGAATTGTTGGTATCATTATATTTAAATAGAATAATATTTGAATACTGAAGCAAATAATTCTGACATATGCCAAAAGTCAACAGAAAACAGTTCAATATTATTAATGTGTCTAATGTCAGAAAGTGCCTCATTGATAGATAATTGAAAATATATCGAATTTCAATGCTCACAAATTGATTAAACTTGTACATAGACTACACACTATACAACCATGTTCATTCTGCCACAGTATCGACTTAGAATCACATACGAGATGCTGAATGTCTGTCATATGATGGGAAATAAAAATTAATTTTTCTTTGCAAAATTATATCTAATTAAATGTTTTATGAACATGTTTTCTAAAACTTAATTAAATTCTAGTAACAATATATGCATGGAGAATGACTATCCTATTTCTAGTATTTCACAAAAACAAAATTTTTAATGTATATTTGGTCATTTTCTTTAAGTATTGCTTGATTAGCATTTTGATTTCTGTGTATTTTTAAGTTGTGTTCAAATATTCTTCTTGGTAAATCATTATAGACTGAAACATAGGAAAAACTGATTCTTAGACATATTCTTACTTGTTCAACTGTATGGCTATGCAAATTATTTATTGTGATGGTAAAGGCAGTGAATTTTATTATGAATTTTGGGGTCTTATCTTTGGACTGTCTTCCTGGTTTTGGCTTTATTAGCCTGCTGAGGTGAAGAAGCATTCTTTAATTTGGACATTTTCAAAATTAAAATATGTTGTGGGTAAAATATTTGGATTATTATAAGGTTGTAGCTGGGGGTTCCAATTTGAGAACATTTGGTGATATTGCATTAACGTGTTTTCTTGACAACCATACAAACATAATGGGGAATTTCAGCCATTCTTTACTGATCAGACATTTGTATTTATTTAATGAAACCAAAATAGACAAGGTTAAAAGAAGTAAAAATTTACATTAGATGGATAATTACTTGCAAGTTAATCTTGCTTATTTTGAGTTCTGATAGAAATACATTTACATTTGAAAACTTTGCTTTTAGTTTTAATAACTTGATTTTTCTACTGCTATGTAATGTAATACTGAAAACTGCCTGGTGTAGCTAATCTTATTGTAACAATTAGAATAGTGATTGACTCATTTAATACCATTAATGGTATATGAAATAAAACTCCCGAAAAGGTACCTTACTTCTACTCGCATACATAGCTATTCTCGTTCACTGCTGTCCTCTATTTGCAACAGTTTTTTCTCATTCAACCAACCTTTCACTCCCATGCATCCCACGATTCAAATGGTTTAACTGATTGTCACATTCAAATTATCGTGTGACAAACCCCCACCAATAGTAATGCCACATACCCATGCGACTCCCTCTATGCTATTCTACCTAACTATCACTTCTTGTTTTGCAGTGCTGATGTTCAGATGTTTGTGCTCTCTATTCAGTTGTTTTTTGTTTGTTTTGTATCTTCATGTCACTGTTATTCAATAAGTTTAATAGTTATTATACAATAGTGATATTTGTAACTTATTCGGAAGTGGACATATTTTAAATTTCTAACAGTTACAGAACTTAATACTTCATTACAAATTTTTTTTCTACTTTTTAGTTTTTTTCTGCTAACACTGTTGTGTTTGGCTATTAATTTTGTATTCTGAATTGTGTGTTACCACTTCGAGGGTTATATCTTATATCAGCACATTTACACAGGCTTCAGGTAGCAGTCCTTAATTGGAGAATTATCATCTGCTTCATTGGGAGATTGATTGTCTAATGAGTTTACCTTTGTTGAGCCCCGACTCAAGTTTGGGGGCCCACACATTTTGAAACATGGTGTTGACTTTGGAAAGATAAGATGTTATACTGTTGTGGTTTTTGTATATTTTTACTGTTCATTTTATTATATGTAGTTATTTTGGTTCAGTAACATAAATTCAGATAGAAAGATCAATACTCATAGTCAAGTTCAGGTTTAAAATTAGAGTTTAGTTGTATCCTTTGTCCTATAATGTTAGATTAGGTGTAACATTGTTCTTTGTTATTTTAGGATTACCTGTAATTCATCTTACTTGTATATCATAAATTAGGTTTATTATATTGTTTTTCTTCAAAACATCACATCTCATACATACATTATTGTCAATACACACTTATTTAATTTTACAATATAACATCTATTTCATTTTCGTTATTACATATCTTTTATACTTCTTCATATTAACTTTGTTTGTGTGGAACTCTGGAGCTGGGGTCCACACAAACTTCTTTTCCCGATATTGTACATATTATTTTTAGGTTAGGGTTTCTAAATTACAGCTTAATGATATATTTTTTTCTGCATAGTTTGATTAGGCTTAGCAAGTTTCTGTTATTTTTGGTTTACGTGTAATTCATCCTACGGGTAAATCGATAATTAGTTTAAATATCTTATTTTCTTCAACACATAACATCTTATACATATGTTAATTTCACTACACACTTATTTCATTTCGTAATTCTTTATAATTATAATTCGTACAAATAATTTAGTTTGTGTGGATCCTTGGTGGCTGGGGACAACCCTATCTTCTTCTACTATTGCTCACCATCTTTCTACAACTGCTGAACCCATTTAGGATGACCTAGATTTTGTCAGTTTTCCTCCACCTGGTTATGGCTTGCCTTCCCAAGCTTTTACTGTGGAATCTGCTACATCTACTTCAGCCTTTTTTATACATGTTTCACAGTATCATTTTTTCCTTCCTTCTTTAGACATCATGTTTTATGATGAGCATTTTTGTCTCTCTTTTGGGTGAGGGTACATGCAAGCCTCACCCTCCACAGGCTTTGGTTTGATTTGCCTCAACTTGTCATCAAGCAGATTTTCTTATTGGTTCTATGTACTTAGAATTTCTGTTGCTGGTATGGGGGGCAGTATCTCTTAATCCTATCCATTTTATCTACCACCTAATTTTTCAGCTTTGTCATACCTTATCTACTCTCCCACAAGAAATGTCTATCTTACACCTCCTTTCTTAGGCATTCCACCTATATCTAGGGGATTTTTGTGGGATACCTCTTCCTATTTCCTACCATGTTGGGGCATTGCCATCATCAGTTCTTTCTCTACACATGTTGCTTCCTTGCTTTGAGGATCTTCTGTGGTGGGACTTACAGTTGGTTCTTTTTCTCCACTGGTCTGTTTTTTGAAGCTACTCCTGTGCATTTAGCATCGTGTGGGGTATTTGTGATGCTATACTCTTTTTTTTTTTGGTTGCTCTGTTGTTTCATTCTGAGTTATTGCCATTTTTATTCATGTTCCATGTCCAGCATCTACCCGTATTTTATGTGTCCTACCTACAGGTCTTAATCTTAATTGGGTGGGCAATTTCATTTCTCAGAATGCCGTCTTTTTTTACCATGTAATTCAGTACCAGTTTCATTCCTTGCTCTTCAGACTTGTTTCAGGTATGTCTTATGTCAGGTGGTTTGCATTTTACCCAACTTCCACATTTTTGGGGATTTTACTAGCATCACTACTTGGACATCTATCTTGAGTTAGCTCTTTCTGAAAGGGATTGGTCATAACATACTCATCTGTTTTTTACACAAGCAGCTCAGGTGGTTGGATTTTCCAGTTGCATAAGTTTTCCTGTTGCTTACCTAACAATATTGGCTATTTGGGGAGTCTTTTTAAACACCTTCCTCCCTAGGGAACATCTATTCTCATCCTTGAATGCATTCAGTGGAGCTTTCTGTTATCCACATCATTACGCTTCACTATCTTACTCTTAATGAAGTTCTAATGCATTGTAAGATGTAGCTTCCATGGAAGCACTCCTCCATTTAAGTCTGGCACATTTGTGATATTTTCAGGAGATGATGCACAACCCATCATCTCTTGCTAGGGTTCCTTTGGATTCTCCTCTTAAATTTCCTCCTTCCCTCTTTGACTGTATGCATTGGTGGTTGAACATATCCCCCATGTATTTGGGTTTACTGATTCCTCCCCCTCATCTGAATTTGTTTCTCTTCCCTGATGCTCATCTCTCAAGTTGTGGAGTATGGGTAAATCAGCAGGAGGCTTCAAGACAGTGATCTATGGATGAAAGGTTTTAGCATGTTAATACCCTAGCACTTCTGGCAGTCCAATGTGCTTTATTTCACTTTCTTCCTCTTGTCCAGATTTGACTAATCATGTTTCATTCTGACTGTTCAATGGTGGTTGCTTATATCACTCGCCAAGGGGGCACTCATTCTTGTTCCCATTGTAGTTGACAGTGGATTTCCCTTTTTCAACCCACACACTTGGATGTTGTTTTCCACCTTGTTGCAGTTTGCCTTTCTAGTCCTAACACACTTTCTCTCAAGAAGTGGCCTCTCGATTCTCAAATTTTTGGTGGCTCTGCCTCCTGTGGTGTACTCCTCCATGGGAAGCATTTGAGTCTTTTCTCAATTTGAAGTTACCTCTTTTGTTTTTGATCTCCAGTTCATCATCTATTCACTCTGGCTGTCCCTACATTCAGACAAGATTAGTTCCAGGTTATAACTTTAGTTTTTCTTATTTGGTTAGTCTTCTTCCCAAGGTGATTTTGATTATCCATGTCAGGTCTTTCTAATTGATCCTTCCTGGTTGGCACAGATCTGGTTTTTTCAGCTGTTTTGCCTCGATATGTTCTTTTTGTTCTGAATCAATATTACTAACCTACACTTTGGGGGCTGATGTGGAATATTCTTTTCTTCATTTTCATTTATTGCCATCTTCCACCTTTATTCTCGATCGGATCCAAATGAACCTTCCTGTCCTGTATATGCTCCGAGTTCTTTCATTGCTTTCAAAGCTTCTTTCTGTTGATTCCATTTCCTGCATTTTTATTCCCTTGCATTACTCCTCTGTTCATGATTTTTCCTCTTCCTCCCTTACCGATTGGACTCAGCTTGTGATTCTATTGGCATTTTATTCCTTGTCTCCTTCTTCCTGGAATTAGTTCCTAGCATCTTCATTCTGTTCAGGCACCTCACTTTTTACTTAAATCTCAACCCCATCATCCGTTAGAGGTACTTCATCTGTTGAGCACTAGGACTACACTTCATACGTTCATTTCCCATTATCTATTTTGGGTAGCTGTTTCTTCCTTGTCTCATCTTTCACCATCCTTCACTCTTTGGTGAGACTGTAACTGGGTAAGTTAATTCTTTTGATATATATATATATATTATTTTTCACTGGCCTGTCCATGTTTTGTCCAAGATCCCCCTTTGTGGCGAGTTGAGTGGTGTCCAGGTATACTTCAATCACTTAGAATTGTACTAAAACCCACACTGTAAAGCCATGTTGACTCCACTTTGAAAATTTACATGGCCACAAAATTCACACTGTTCATTACAATCACATAAACTTGTAAGTTATTCCTCGCAATATCTTTGCTTCATCCATATGCCTGTCCCGGACCATACTAACCCATTGACTTCATGGGTAAAGCAGAAGGAGAATGCTGCCATTTTTTAGATTGGATAAATCGGGTTTGGTGTGCTTTTCAAAATAAGGTTTTGTGGTCACCCATTACACTGTCTCTGGTGTGAATGTTCTTCCAGACTCTCCACCATGTTTTTCCCCAATTTCTTGTAGTGGAGTAAGAGAGCCCTTACCATTTTCCATTTCCATGTCACTGGGTGGTGGACCATGGAGATATCCTCCTGAATGAGACATATACAATATAAATAATAAATATTCCATTCAATTGAGAGTAGGGTGGTGGTGTTTTGCTGATATAGATGACGAGATATCTTCCAAATGGATGCTCCATCTCTGCACAGGTTTGTCCGAGGGGATGTTGTAGCTATGGAGTGCATTGTCATAATGATTGGAATCCCTCATCCTACCTCTGCATAGAAGTTCATCCCCTGCGGTTGAGTTTTGGATTTAGAGCTGAACCAATGAACATACTGTCCACACTCATGTTGTGCTGATTGGGATCCCTCATCCTATCCCTGCATGGATGTAAGTTCCCAACAGTTGAGTTTTGGATTTAGAGCTGAATCAGTTGACATGATGTACTCACACATGTTCAGGGTGTTCCTGGGCTTTCAGTTAATTTAACTCAACTGCCTCATTGTTGTGGGTCACTGTGGGTGCACTTGTTGGTTGCTCTGCTTCTTCCCCTTTAGCTATCCCTCAATGTCTTTGTGCCAAGGAAGGTACTGTGTTTGAGTTGTTTCTGGTCTGTTTGATTTGGGTGGGATATATATGTTTGTTATCATATATATATGTTTGCTATCATTTGCTCTGTTCACAGATCAGTGGTGAGATTTCTCCCTCTGGTCAGCTGAACTTGAGGTGAAGACAGTATAATCCTCTTTCCTAACCCCTCATGGATGTTGGGTCTTGGGAGTTGAGTTTTTGATTGTAGTTGACTTACCAATGGTTTGATCCTCATCCTACCCCCGCATGGATGTTGGTTTCTGGCAGTCAAGATTTGGATGCACTGGCTTGCTGTGTAAAGTCTGTCATGTCCTAGCCACTCTACACCTTGGGCACATCCCTTATTTTACCCACATTTTGTTCATCAGGGAAAATGAAATTATAATATATTATGGTTAGGATCACTGTCCAACCAGTTTCTCTCCAATTTTCCACCTGGATCTGTTGCACCCTTTCCACATCTGGGCAAAGAGTATACTTGGTACAGAAGTTGTGCAGTCTCCCATGTATAATCATCTTATTATAGGGTTCCCTTGTTAGGGTGTCCTTCGAATGTTTTCGAAGGATGCTTTTACTTTCTGCCTTGTACCAGTCCCTCCACCTATTAAATGTGGGATTCTAGTTATGAATGTGAGTGGAAGTAAGGTATTTTGTCAGAAATTATAATTTTCTTGGACTGAAAATGTATTTTCAACAGATACTTACTTCCATTCACCCTTCCTCCCCATTATCAACTGGTGCTTACATTTCTGCCTGGGAGAGAAAGGCTAGTGGCATGGTAAAAATGTTTGCAAATAGAGGGAAGCACAGAACAAGAACAGCTATTATGTATGTGAGAGGATGTAAATAAATTTTCAATATAGGAAAATTATAACTTGGAACATCTGTATTTAAAAAAAAAAAAAAGTTCCACATTTGTCTTGATATGTTACATCAATCCACCAAACATTTGAAAGGCATTGTTAGTGGAATGGATGATGTTTCAACTTACTAGAAGCTTCAACCAAAAAACATCCCAGATAGATGTAGTTCTCTAACAATGCCTTTCAGGTATTCTCTATTCTGTCTTATCTTTCTCCCAAGCAAGAATCAATCATAATTGATGGCTCAAAGTAGGCAAGGCGAGGTGTTGTATCATTAAATATTCTAGTTAGTTACCAGCAGTTTCATTTCTGTGTAACTGTGTTGGATGTTATTCATAGCAAACAATTTTTATGAGTATTTTTATTATGATAGCATCTTTATTTTCTAGTTGTACTTTGAATTTTCAGTTTAAATTATCAGATCAATGTAGATTTGAGGAGATAATTTGGTGGTGATGTAGGAATATGTTTGGAAGCCCCCAAACCCCAAGTTGATTTTCTGTGGATGTGCCTGTGGCCCACTCATGTGGCTGGATATTTCAACTATTTTATATACCATCATTATTATATTTAATATAATATGTTAAAAAATGTTTGTAATTATACCTGTGTTCCTACTATTACTGGTGTTCCTAGTGCTATCAACCTGGATTTTCTTTTACTTATGTCGAGGCCTGGCATGGCCAGGTGGTTAGAGCGCTCGACTCGCAATCTGAGGGTCGCAGGTTTGAATCCCCATCCCACCAAATATGCTCGCCCTTTCAGCCATGGGGGCGTTATAATGTGATGGTCAATCCCACTATTTGTTGGTAAAAGATTAGCCCAAGAGTTGGCGGTGGGTGGTGATGACTAGCTGCCTTCCCTCTAGTCTTACATTGCTAAACTAGTGACGACTAGCTTATGTCAGAAGCACTTTGCTTGATGACTTTCACATTTTTATTTGTATCAATTAAAAATTTACCTGTTCTTTTATGCATAAAAGTTAACTTTAGAAAAATTTGGTCAGATATGAAAAAATGTTTCTAAGTTCAATTGTGCATAAATGAACTCTTTTTAGTTAAATGGTAAGTTTAAATACTATCAATAAGAATGTGGGTTTTACTAATGAAATAAAGTAGATATGTATTATCAAGATAAAGTAGACTTAAGGTAATTTACCTGAAAAATAGTAACTCTTAACTTAAAATGAAATATTATTACATCCATATAGAAAAGTGCTTGACATAGCAAAATAAGGCTGG